GCAATTGTTATCCCATTTGAATGAACCGTTTTTGACGACAATAGGAGTCCTTTGATTGGGTTTGTGGTCAACGAAACTCTCATTCACTTCATTAGCGTTTAAATAAGCATTCATTCGCTTCACTGAAACTCTGCACTAAAAACAATAATAAAAATATTAAATTTTAGATATAATTAAATCTTTATTATTTACTTTTATATAACTTACAAGTATTGAACAAGTGACCAGAGGTGGTATTTTTGTGATTGGTCCATCTAATCAATTTAAAATGTTATTACACTATTTGCTATTGCATTAGAAATTAGCATTGATTTTATGCGACACTCACTTAAAATATTAAACAACAAAAGGGAAACAAATGCTTTATTCGGGTCCAAAATATTCTCGTTAGACATGTATAGGAATGCCGTAAAACTGCATAAACTAACCTAACGTACAAAAATATTGTGAATATTGATGGTAATACTGTACAAATTAAATAGTTTTTATACCAGATATGGTGTGGCACTAACAATGGCAGTAGAAATGACGCCGATCACCATTACTGAGCTCAACGCTGCGCACTCCTGAGCCCTGTGGCCAAACACTCGGGTCATGAACGCCGGTTCCCAGCCGTATAGCTTCAACACTTTGATGTGATTGATAGTCTCGGTAATAGCGGCCACTCTTTTGTCTTTAAACGCGAGTATTTTTGCCCACAACCGGTGCTCACGGGTTATCATAAATGAGTTAAATGGTATCAACAGTACGAGCACTGATACGCCGACCAGAGTGGCCGCACCCAACTGTGCCCATAGTAACCACGTAGAAATCGCAACAACTGCCGGTCCCAGCCATAGGTTGTTTAAAAAATAGAAAAATGAGGTTAAATATATCATGTCTGCTGAGATCAGGTTAACGATATCGCCGGTGGCAAAGTCCTTACGGCCAGCGCTAGACAGCCTTAGACACTGGTATGAAGTGAATGGTGAGGGTAAGTATACATTGCATGTATTGTCTCATTAGTATATTTATATTGCCTTCTCGTAGAGCACTGATGTTACACTGGATCTAATCTTCATGAGCAACAGGTCCTGCCGACGATCGTACTGTCCGTTCAGCACAGATGCCAACACCGGCGACACAAACATAGCGCCAGCGTATAGATAGCCCCTCCAAATGGGTTCGACGGTTGCGGTGGTGGTGTCGGTGACGGGTGTCATGAATGTGATGAGTCGGTCGAGTATCAGGGGTTGAGTGAATGTTAATAATGTGGACACCAATTGAATGCATGCGTTGAATAATATTGTTGACCAAAAGGTCTTCAACACTACTGGGAATATATTGATAGCATTTTTGGTTTTGTTGTTTTGTATTGGTTTCCAGTGTTTATTAAATTGTTTGATGAAAACATTAGTCCGATTCTGTGTGGAGAGCGACCACATGTCTTCAGTGGTCAATGGTTTCCGATAGCCATTCATAATCATTGGTGTAAACCATGAAAATGTGAGTCGAGATAAAAATGACGATTGATTTTCAGGACTAGAATTCTGAGTGAAATAATAAATATTTAGTTTTAAAATTAAATATATTTTTTGTTTTGTATGCAATACTTCTCTGTCGGCAACAGTAGTGAAGACTTGTGTTGAGTCCGCAAAACATGAGAACAATAATTGAGTGATAATTATTGGGAATGAAAGCGATTTTGTGGTAAATGTGAAGACATTAATACTCGACTCTATCGGTGTCTTTGAATTGAATCGATGAAAATTTTATTTATATTTTATTATTTAAATAATTATCAATTTATTAATTACTTCACTGAAAGCTATGGAAAGTACAGTTTTGAAGTTAACAGCGGTTCCGATAGACAAACACAACCAGAATATGAATAAAACGCCCGAAGTATTCATTCCTCTCTTTTTGTAATTGATTGTCAAAACAATTGTATAAATCTATTAAATAAATTAAAAATTTTAGTAATTATTAGTAAATAAATACAAAAAATTTAATTAATACTAACATAAGTTAATGTTATTATAAACTGTGTAAAAATGTCCACAAAATTTCTTGTATACAAATCGTTGATATAATCATTAATAGCGTATAAGAGTTGTAATAAACTCAACATTAATAGCACTCCCGATAAACACTAAAACAATTTAATTAATTATTATATTTTTAATTCAATAAAATATAAATACAATTTTAGTAATAGAGAGTAGAGTCCATGTCGTGGGATGTGATGAAGCCCTGGATGTGATCACTTCTGGCGACCGATTGTGCCATTCATACAGTGATGTGACAAATAATATAAGGGATGGCATCCATACCAGTGCCGTCTCTTCAAAACAAAGGGCAAACTCTGGAAATGAATCTGTAGTCCAGGTATGACTCAAATCCTTTATAATTGTGATAAATTAACAAATAATAACAAAATAAAAATAAAAATTTTAAAACTTACCCAAAAGTTTTTGCCGCAAAACTTTGCACTCATTGTAACAACGATATTGAGTACAAACAAAAGTTTTTTAAACTGTGTTTTTTCAGTGAATATAATAAACAGAATATTTTTAATCAAATAATATGTTGTGACAAATACAGTGCTAGTTATGAAATGAATGAACAAATAATAACTCTATTTATATAAATACTATTAAATAATAGTTAAAACATTGCATTTTGTGTCAAAACGTGTGCTAAACGTATCAAAATTATGAACATGAATTGAAATTAAATTCCCAGAATCATTCATATAATATTATAAATTATATTATTCTTATCATGGTCAATATAAATATAGTACCATACCGTACATTTAACGATAACGAGTGCATGTGTTACTTCACTCCGCCCACAATTTGTCAACATCAAGCGTAAATTTATACTTCTAGATAAAATTTAAAATCGTATAATGTAATTTACATAATGTAAAGTAGTGTTGAGTTTTAGTATTGAGAGCATTGAAAAGTACATTTTTAAATAAACATTAAACACACTTTAATTTACACATGTATAAAGTTAGTTAAAGTGTTGTACAGTTTTAACTTTAGCGTTTAACTTAAAAGACAATCAATCGCTATGGTATCAATACTTTTACCTGTATGTTATGCAATATGGCCTTGGACATTGTAATAATTTATATACTTTAGTAAACAATATGATAATTTTCTATGAGTTAATTATATTGAGTAAATTGTGTGTTGAATAAATATGCGCACAGTTACCTTTCACTAGGGTCGCTTGTGATTATTTAAGCCAGAAACTAAATTTAAAATCATTGGACACAAATGAATACAAGATAAATAGATGAATTTTTTGTTCATTATTATGCATAAAAATTATTTAACAATTACAAATTTGACAGTGATGAATGTTAATTTGTGTTGTTGTTTGTTACAAATAGTTTGTAGACCACTATTTTTAACATTAATTTTAGTTGCAATGGTTTAACTTAAACCTTTGTCTTATTAAAATTATTGTTTTTACTTGTATAAACAAAAATTATTTGTAATTAGTATAACTATATTTTTATAAATAAAATATTTGTGTACTTAATAAGTCTTAAGCCCCCTATAGTTTTAATTTATATATAATTGTAAAATTAATTTTTTTTAAAATTTTAGTTATTATTCATAGGCATCAGAAACCAAGTTTCAAAAATATTGTATAATTAGTTGTCTTTTAGTAAATTTTTAATATATAAGAGTAAGAATTATTTTAAAAAATTTTTACCAAAACATTATATTAAAATTTATTAATAGGTTTATAACAAATTCAAACAAACATTTTAGTAATTTATTTAGAAAAATTTTATTTAAACTTAATTAAAATAAATATTCATTTATTAGTAATCTTTGGTAATACAGTAGTTAAATAGTTTTTAAACAAGTTTTTCTTGTTTAGCCATTGAGTAGAAGATGGATGTGTTGTCCGCTAAGAGCTGTTCCGGTGTTCCCGACTCTGCGATCGATCCGTTGTTTAAAACTATAACTAAATTGTAATCAATAATAGTATTCAATCGAT